ACTGACGATCGAAGACAAACGAAAGGATGCCAACTACAGAATAGTGACATTGCTAGCAACGTTTAATAATAAAATTATAGATAAAATTTCGGTGAACTTTTATACCCTATAACATTATGGTTTTGAAAAGTTATGGAAATTAAGAATTAAAAATTCTTACTCTTACTCAATGTTGCGAAACTGAATGTAAAGAGATAAACAACATCCGTCCCTCGAATTCTCGAAACGAGTCGCTAGAAAAGAAGAAGAAAAACGTAACGCGAAAACTCAAAAATTCCTTCCTGAATTTCTTTCCCGAGCTTTCGGGGAAATGAGAACTCTTTTGCCTTAGAAAAGAGTTAAACGGAGCATCGAACAATTCTCGTTCGAATTTCTCTCGTTTATCCAATGTTCGTTAAGAGAAAAGGTTGGCGAAAAGACGTCCGCTGCGATACTTACCCTTACTCGCCGTTCGTTTACCACGATATCTGCCCTTAATGGAGCCTGAAAATTGATCGAGGCCATCCCACGGGGATATCAACTTCCGATCTAATCGAATCGGAACGGGCCTGTATTTACACACGCGACGCGATCTTCGCTTTCATGGTTTAACGAGAAGCGGTGATTAAAGCGAGCGATCGTTAATTTTTCTTTCGTTCCAACGTTTCGTTACGTTGACGCGCGAGCGTAATAATTACGAGGAAATTTCGAGGTGAAGGAAAAATTCGTATGCGAATCTTCTTTTTTCTTTTTTCTTTTTTCCATGCATACGTTTCCATCCAGAAATTGAAAAGGGAAGTTTAAATAAGGCTGGAAGCAAAAACTCAATTTGCTTCAACCAATGCTTTTAAATTTGTAAAATGAATATATCTTTTAAAACTCGATTAAACTGACTTTGAAATTTGAACCATTCTCGATTTGAACGATCATTGGAAACATCGTCCCTTAAAATGCCTTCTTCTTTGTTTCGATACGACTTTTAGTTGTCGCGTAAGGACAAAAGGATAGTTTTTAATCGGAACACGATTCCTGGAAGGACACAGTGGTCCAGTTTCCAAGAAAGAAATAAAGGGCAATGAGCGACAAGTGGAAAGTTTGCATCGTGTCAAGCGTGCAATTGCTTCGAATCTTTGTACCCTCGTAATTAACGAAACGAAAAATAGTTGGCACAGTTTCCAAAATTTTTACCTCTTTCGTTTCTCTACTCTCGAAAACTCTTCTCTCGCAGTTTCACTTCTTAGATAAACCTGTTGACAATGATCTTGCGATTATGTAAACAGACGATTCCCACAAAAGTTCAAACTTTGCATCTCGATGAAACGAAAAAGAGCTTCGATGGCACAATTTCCTCCACGTTTCATGAAAAATTTTCACCTTCCCCTCCCCGAAGTTTCGCTTTCGATAAATCCGTTGCCAATAATCTGTTGTTGCGATAAAATACCAAAAAAAAAAAAGGACAAATTCCTGGAAAAACTCAAGGAAGAAAAAAATGAAATGCCATCGGATGACAGGTCGATCGATCAAACGCTACGCTTCGAATCATCCTTGCATCCCGAATTTTGTCGACAAAAAAACAATTTCCTTGGCTTTTCAAAAATTTCCCTTCTTCACCGACTTTCCGATCCGTTGTCGCGATCCAAAGTGCGCAGAACAATTATAAACACGATTCCCTCGCGTAACGCGAGGATCCTCTGGAAAGCGAGAAACCAGAGAATCCGTGCGGTTAAGCAGCTCTATGACGAGAGGGGTGGAACGAAACCCGTGGCACGCGACGTTAATCATCGGACAACAACGCCGGCTTTGTTCCTTCGTTCCCTTTCCAGAACCATTAAACCAGAATCACACACAGAGAACATTATTTCTCTCGTTTCCAAAACGCATCATTTCCATTAATCTTTGACCTACCACCACCTTTGAAAATCTGAAACCGCTTCCCTCTCTCTAACCTCGATAACGATAATCACGCTGGTCTCTCGAGAAGAAGGCAAGCCCGCTCGCAGAGTCGAAATATAATTCGATTAAGACTCTCGATTAAGACTCTTGTCGTTGACTTGTCGATTTCTCGGGCCACGAGAAGTTCGGTCAGACTCGTGTCGTTCGTCCCAACGATGCCAGACCCTTGTACTTTCTCGCCCAAATTTCTTCCCACGAGTCTCGTTCTAGGACGGAGTGTTTCCACGTGTTCTCGATCGAGAAACTTGAAAAATTCAGCGCGTGATGGATTCACGGCGTGCGCGAGGACGAGTGGAGGAAGAGTGAATGAATTTCCATCGAGAGACGCGTTCGACCACTGTATATTTCTGTATCGGTTTCCAATATTCGAATGGTCGCGCGCCAGCCAGAGACACGCCCTCTCCTTCTTTCTCCCTCCCTATTACATATTCGAAACGTGGATCAACTCCTCTTTTTCGACCCCGTTCGCGATTTCGCCACCACGTTTTTTTTTCCTTCGTTCCAAAATTCCGTCCAGCTATTGTTCCCCCTCCCTCTGTCGAAAGTATACCACGCGGGCTGATTTAAAGAAGGATCTCGTGAGACCAGGGCTCGGTTAAATAAATTCCAGTGAAATTCGGCTCGAGGAGAGGATGTGCGTCTATGTGCGGTTGTTAATAATAATGCTAGCGGTTTATTTTTATTGAAAAAGTCGATTTTTATGTGGAGCTTGTGCGTTTTTTTGAGGAATAATTTTTTAAATTTTACCTCGATTTTTATAAGTACATGTTTGCGCGAGTATGTCGTCGCGTTTGAAATATTCATTTTTATCGGAGGGGATCCCGGTGAAAGTTTTAACGCTTTTACTCGGTCGACAGTCTCTCGACGTTTTCAATCTACGACAATGGGCATCAAATATGGACGAAAATTGAAGAAAATATATCGCGTACTAATTGCGTTTGTCTTCCAATCGTGACAAAATTATGAAAAATATTGGCTAGAGTTTTCGGTAGTTTTAGATAGTTAACACTTTCGTCGCGATTCATACGATGTTTACAGTGAAAATTGAGGAAAAATTCACCTCGATCGAATCTCGATCTTGCTTCGTACATTTATATTTATATTCTCCCAGATAAATTGAGAGAATTAATATCGTTACAACACCGTGAAATATATCCTATTTAACGAACGATAAAACGATAATCAACTTTCTGGGACAAATAAATATTCTCTGGAATAACATCGTTGCGAGGAAACCCATCGAACTGATAACGCGTCTCAAAAATTCGAGCAATTCAGCTTCGATGTGATCCACGAAGTGGATGAACATCGTACGAGGATCAAAATATGCAAATGATATGTTTTAATTGAAATTCTAAGAACTCGCGGTTAACATTGCGTGATTATGAAAATCGCAGGATGCGTAATGAAATGTAATTTTCTAATTAAACGAGCTACGAGGGATCGAAACCCTTGTGAACGCCATTAATAGCGCGCCATCCTTGTTTTCACACAACTTGGATGGAACGAATGAATAACATTCTTCGACACGATGCGTTGCATCGTTCCAGGTAATTAACGCGACGCGTTGATATCACATTTGAGAATTTCCGCTATGCAGAGAACTCGCCAGACTTGGGATAGATACGCCTCTAATTACATCGATCGAACAATTATTATTAGACACGTATTACGTGAATTAATTTCGGTTTCATCGAAAACTGATATTTCCTACGTAATCACGAATCGTGAATTATTATTAAATTAATGTGGATTCAGAAATGGCTAAGAACGCTCGCTCGAATGGATAATTTGTAAATATGACGGCGGATAGATTTTTGATCGACAACAAAGGAAATATTGGAAAAGTGAGAAGGAAGCTCCTAACATTTTTTTTCTTTCTTTCGTTTCGTGCGTATTTCACGCACGCGGGACACACTTTTTATTTTTAATTTTCACGATGTCGCCACGTTTTTTTTTTTTTTTGAAAAGGAACAAATTAAAAACGATCCTTTCGCCGACGACTCTCGGTAAATATCATCTGGCTGCCCTTTGATCGCGGTTTAAATCTAGTTTCCATAACTCTCATCTTCTTGCGAAAAAAAAAAAAAAAAACTCCAATCTGACGGAAAGAATTTTTAACGAAGGTATTCTCCCTTTTCTCGTCTTTCTTTTAATTAATCGTACCACAGCTCTGGCTTACTTATAATAATAACGATATTTATCCATATTTCTTACTTTTTTACATTACAAAATAACCTGGTTATATATATATATATATATTAGATTGTACCAGTTATGATCATCAAGTTGCCAATTTTAGAATAGACGAGAATCAACCGCGACTCGTAAACTCTCTACTTAACCTATATTCTGCTCGCCATATTTGTCCTCTCCTGTATTTCCTTTGCGTAACAACTTCTTTTTTCGCTGTCACTTTTCTCAAGAAAATTTAAAATATTATTCCTGTACCAGCTTTCAAAAATTCGGAATCTTGAAAACGAGATCCGCGTTAAAGAAAGATAAATTGAGCGGAGGCGGAATGAGACGCATCTCCAATTAATGTGCGATTACAATTACAATCCGGACGATGGTTGGACGCCAATGAAAATCCTAAACGAGCGTCGAAACCGTCGTTTCGGCCGAGAAAAGTTAGGGCCGAAAAGAGAGTGCAGGTGGTCCGTGAAGGGAATAATTCGTTATTCTTTTCCGAAACGAGGAGACAGCGGCGTCCTGAATCGTCGAGAAATCGACTAAGAAACGAACCGAGTTAGTCGATAAAATTAGCTCCATCGAAAATTAGCTGAATCGAAATACGAAACCTTAACCCATACATACACTTTGTTCATGAAGCTCAGAGAGGCTGGTGATCCCAGCATTCTTGATGAATTTCTTCGCGGCAAAGTTTTACGAAAAAGGAACGGGTGGCTCGTATTTCGATCGAATATATATGTATATATAGTGATCGAAGAATAAATTAGATCGTCGAAAGGAAAAATATCCCGTTTTACTTTATCACCTATTTTTATGAAAGAGGAGCGAAACGATCGTTTAATTTATCGTCTGTTTCGTCTCATTTGTGGCAACAGATCGGCGTGTGGAAATCGTGGGAGAAGGAGGGGTTGGACATCAAGGACATCGTCTGGCCAGGGAACACTCACACGCCGCCCCAAGGCGTGCCGGAAAAGTTTTATCTGAAAATAACCTTCTTGGAGGAGCCGCCCTATATCAATCTCGCGCCCCCGGATCCCGTAAGTGGAAAATGTCTGATGGATCGTGGCGTTCATTGTCGCGTGGCCAAGGATTCCGACATGGTCGAGTAAGTCCAACTACTAGATCTAGATCCGTTTCGAATTCTTCCGATTTTTCCATGCAAATGATCGTAATTGTTAAAACGTTCTCACTTGTTTCTTCCTCTCGTTCGACATTTTTCTCTTTTTTTTTTTTTTTCTTTTATTCGAGATCGAAAATTGAATATTTTTCTTTCCACGTTTTAACAATTTTAAATTAACCAGCGAAAACCAGTGAGATATTATTGTTATCTACTTTGTGGAGATTCCTTTTTATTGAGAATTGTAATAAACGGCGATTTATTAACCCCCGCCCCCCCCCAAGAAGATATTCGTTCAGATAACGTGTCCCACTGGACTCGTTTTGCAACGTGTTAAGACCGTGCTCGAACTCGAGCTATTTCGCTCACTAGGGACTACTTTCATCAAGATAGAAGTCTTAATTTTCCAACGAATCCTATTAGATACAAATTACACAAGAAACATCAGATGGATTAAATTATTTCTTAATCCTTTTCTTTGATCGATCGGAAAATAACAGTTCCATTAACAAAGTCTACGAATTTACTACTGATCCGCGCTACAAAACAGCTTAATAAACGGATTCCGTGGTTTTCTCCATCAAAGTTTTCCAAAGTATGGCCGACAATGTCAAAGCGATTATTAGAGAGGATAATTCGCAAGTTGGTTGATTGGCAGCTTCCCTCAATTTTCATCGAGTCGTTCCTCAAAATCAACATTTCGTTCGCTCGAGAGCTTCGAATAACTCTTCTTTATCCCTGCGCAAAATAAATCCTTTAAACTGTGAATATTCACGAAACAGTAGTTTCTCTAGGATTGTTTGTATTTGTCACTTCGCTTCGATCGGTCTTCCGAAACGTGGCGCATGTTTAACCCTTTGACGACCGGTTGGAATTATTGCAGATGGAGTATCTTTCTCTGAGAGATCAATATTTTCTTTTTATCACTTGTTTCTCATTCCTCGAGATAATAAAAAATGTCAGATCAGTTTGGAGACGCTTGTCCGAATGTTCGCAGGGAATAAAGTTTTACTTTTTCTCCAACGACAGAGGAGAGCAAAGGTATGCCTGGTTATTTCTCAAATTTGTTCAGATTAATTATTTTTAGACAAATTTTATCCCTTAAATAAGACATTATTAACAGTTATTATTTGATTCCAAAGTGTAATTAAACGTAACTTCGTTCACAAGTTAAATAAAACCCTGTTTCGAGGAAAGTTTTCCTTCCAATAAACATCGACTCGGTTTGCAACCAGGCTGATAATCTTTCTCGAGCGTCGTGCACACGTTTTTGGTCGCCCAAGGGTTAACGTCGTTTTCGGTAATAAAATACGCTCCTTGCATCTCTGTTATCAAAAACGAATTTTTCTCGCAAATAAACCACGAAACGCCAACTCCCAAAATACGTACAACAACAACAACGCGATTTACAGAAGGAAGTTGGCTGGATAAACGTTCGAGCGACGAAAGACGAAATTACTACATGCTGAGTCGTTCGAGAAAAAATTCAATCGAACGATGGAGTTGGGGGGATCGTGAGTCATCGAGCAGGCGCCAGCCAAGGATCGTTGAACGCTTAACCACGGTTCCCCGACCTCGAAAATGGGGTCCTTCGATTCGAGCATCGATCCAAGGTCGAAATCAAAAGGGATTTTAATTCGAACAGAACGGTGATAACAATTTCCATCGAATCGGATAAACGGAAAGAGAATACGGTCGGATCTTAATTTATCATTGGAAGAGATAAAGATTTTCGAAACAGGAAAAAAGAATCTGATTTAACCCTTTCGGTCCTCGCATAAGAACGTACCAAATAAACGCAAGGAAACGCAGAAGAAAAACCAAATTTTCTTGTGTAAAGTAACGTTCACTTACGCCTTGATGGAAACAAAAATTATTTTTTTTTTTTTCATTGTTATACGTTTTCGAAGATTCAATAACTTGCTTTATGTATGTACTCAACAACTAAACTTTTGTAACTTATAATATATGCGATTTTGGTGAAATAAAATTTTTTTTGAAACACTTTTTCAATTTACATACCGCATCCATCTGAACGTAATGTCCTCACTTGGACGGAGATATTTTATTACAATTGAAAAACGAAGAACCGCTTGGCAAAGCCGTGATCTTTTTCTTCCGGGATTAGATAAAAAACTCGTGACCGAAAGGGTTAAAATCCCTTGGTTCGAGCCTTTGGCGATAATTGCAAAATCGGGAAGGGAAGAGGAGCGCGTACAATTTCGTCATCGAATTGCGGAGGATCGCGTTATTTCGCGGATGGACGACGGATAATTAGAGAGTGAGGGAGGGTGATGGAAAATCCGTGGAGGAGGAGATTACCTCTGCGTGATTAAAAATTCCGATTGCGAGGCAAGGTCGAGAGAGGAAGAGAAAAAAAAAAAAAAATATCCGGCGAATCTGGTAGCCGAATAGCCGTGGCCTGGTTAACGATGGAATCCGGTGTAATTGAAAGAGCGGCGACAGATGGGGACACTATGTGGAGGGATTGAAAATTGCTCGAGTTACGTCGATTGTACGTTTCGAAACCGTGTTCGCGTGCACGATACATTTCGAATAAAAACGGGACACCAGGAGATCGCAATATCGGCGAATTTTATTCGAGTTCCACAAATTTGGGATCCATTCCTTTGCCTTGTTTCATCGTTTCCTTCCTCTTCAACGATCTCGCTTTAACACTGAATCTACCAAATCTATGTCAAATGATGTGTTCAAACTTTTTCGTATATTTGAACATATTTAAAGTTATCACTTTATCGCTATTTTCCTAAAATAGTTGGATACGATATATTTTTCGGTATTTAATTTACTTTTCTTCTTTCCAAGAAATATTTGTACTTTGTCTTGCCTAGATAGGGATAAGTATACAACAATTGTAGTTAGTGTTAATTTCGCTTTTTTGCCTTTTCGAATTTTTCTGATCGCGAGAAAAAGAAGAAACGAACTAACTTATCCCTAATTTAACGAGCGACAATTATCGTACACGAGGGAACATTTTTGGACGAAAATTGGTAGAAAATTCTCCCCGCGTTCGTAAAATATCGGGCAGGAACAAAGTAGGCGAGCAAACTAGTATCATCATTAAAACCCTGAAAGATAGATAGCGATTTCCTTTGAGGCGAATCGAAAAGTCTCGTCTCTTGTTCGAGCAACGCGTAACCAACGCGTTCCCTCCTCTGATAAAAGGAAAATCGATTTCTTCCCCCTCCCCCTCCCCCTCCTCTGACTCCACGGGGTGAAACGTTTCAGGGGTAACCCTATTACTCGTTTCTGTGTACAGAACAACCCGTGCGCATAGGAAAAATAAATACACCGCATCCAAGAGAACGAGATAAGGTTAATGGGGGGGCGGGGGGGGGGGGAGAGAGGAGGAGGATACGTATTTGTCGACGATCGGGCGAGCAGAGCGTTGTTCGGACGCCAGATTCGCTCTCTGAAAATACGCTTCGATCATATCGAACGATCCGAGGGGATGAAAAATGCTACGAGGGAATGTTGTTAAGATTCTTCATTTTGTGATAGATTTCCAAACGTGAACAAATTTTAAACGTGAATATCCATGATCGATATACATCTTTATACGAATAACTTCGATCGTTTCAAAGAAAAATACACATCGTTCGGAACTATGCTCGTCGATTTCAATCTCTTCGATTCTTATTAATTGAATCTTGCGTGTAATTATATTCTCGACGATCATTTTAAAAAGAATTTGAATTGGGGGAGAAAAATAAGGCTCATCCTTGGAAATTTGAGGATGAATCCAATTTAATCCCCAACTTTTATCATCATTTTTGCTTCAATTTTGTCGAAGTTAGAATTTTCTCTCGAACCGTAAAATTAAAAAGGAAAAGGAAGAAAATACTCGTTCGATCGCGTTTCTTCGCGCGAACAAAAAATGAAAAAAAAATTTGCTAATTTTCAAAACGCCGCCTCCAACGTCGAAAGAAAGTATTCCCATCGTGAAAGGATTCGTCGTTTCATCTCTTCGATCCCCGATTAAAATAAATTGAAAGTAAAATAAAGGGTGCGAAACTCCTGTAAAAAAAAAAAAAAAAGTAGCAATCTCGTCGAAAGGGGCGACAATGGCACGTCCAAACTTCCACTCCCAAACGTGGATTCTCCCATCCTCTTAAACCCGAATAATCTCTCGATAACGATAACAGTTTTCCCGCTAAAAAATCCCGCACACTCGAAAAACTCTCCCTCCCTCCCTCTCTCTCTCCCCCCAGATTCATTCATTCCCTTCCCTCGAGGCGGCAAGAAAGAATCGCACGACCATCCATTAAATCTTCAAAAAAGGGTGGCCCTCGCCATCTCGAGCCGACCTTTCGAGTTACAATAATCTTCCATTCGCGTATCCCTTTTTAAACCAATTCTCAAAATGCGACAAATACTTCATTCTTTCATTTATCGAGCGCCTCCATCCACGAACGAATGATTCGTCGTTCTGTTAATCCATTCTCATCCCGTGAGAATAATCCGATTCACGAAAACGGGGACCGAGAGAAAGAATTGCTCGGCCTTTTCGCAATTTCTAATTCGCCGTGGCAACATTCGTGGTGCGAACGTGTCGTCGGTTCGAACGCTGGGATCCAAGAATCAGCACGTATCCCGGATTTCGATTTCTATTTCCTTTTTGTCCCTTCCCTTACTTCTCTCGTTTCAGATTAATAATCGTGGACAGCGTTAATCACCGATCTAGGTGACAATTTTTCTGAAAACTATCTGTTGAAATATTTGAAATTGAGGAAATTGATCGGCATATTTGCGAGAGACGTCTCGTGAGAGGATGCGTACATCTCTTCTTTAATTCAACATCGATAAATGGAGATCGATCGAGCAGGAATATCTTTGTAGATTTGAAATAATTGTAAAGGAATAGAGATTACGTGTGGAGATTACGTGTTGCAAAATAAGATACATGTCAATGTTTTAAAGAATTAGAATGCTGTTATTATTTATTTATGGACTGACAGTCATATTTT